GGGCTAATTTTCATCCCAGCTGCTTCACACTTTGTTGCGAATCGCTCCAGTGAGAGCTGAAGATCATGGCATGATGACGCCAACAGGACCACATCGTTTGCAAGGAGCAGAGATGGAACCCTGAGGCCACCGAACCGGAATCCCTCTGCCCCCTGGCTGCACCGAGAAATTCTGTCCATAAAAATTATGAACAGAATCGTAACAACAGACAGCCCTGACTTACTACCGGCAATATAAACCAAACTCTTGCACCACTTGTATATGGACTGAACAGTCCATACCAACGGGCCCCCAATCCCATACTTGCGGAGCACCCCACACAGTGTACCTCGAGGCGAATGCCTTCTCCAAGTCCACAAAACATATGTAGAGTGGATGGGCAAACTCCCATGACCCCTCAAGGACCCTAGTGAAAATAAAGGGCTGATCCAGTATTCCACGACCATGACAGAACCCTCATTGTTCCTCCTGGGCTTTCGTTTTATTATTGAATGATAAGTAATTATTGAGGGCTGCACGGTGGCGCAACTGGTAGAGCTGCTGCCTCTCAGCGAGCAGGTCCTTGGTTCAAACCCCGGTCCAGGGGCCTTTCTGGGTGGAGTTTGCATGTTCTCTCCGTGCATGCGTGGGTTTTCTCCGGGCACTCCGGTTTCCTCCCACAGACCAAAAACATGCATGTTAGGCTGATTGGTAACTCTAAATTGTCCCTAGGTGTGAGTGAGAGAGTGAATGGTTGTTTGTCTTGTTTGTCTCTATGTGGCCCTGTGATGGACTTGCGACCCGTCCAGGGTGTACCCCGCCCCTCGCACAGTGATCGCTGGACATGGGCACCAGCAACCCCCGTGACCCAAAAATGGAATAAGCGGGTAAAGATAATGGATGGATGGATGAAGTAATTATTGATATGTCATTGTCTCTATTTCCCTTTTTCTTTTTATATGTGTCACAATTTTCCGTTTACAGCTTCTCCTCCAGTTTTGATAAAACTCATACATCAAAATACAAACCGGATTCCAAAAAAGTTGGGACACTAAACAAATTGTGAATAAAAACTGAATGCAATGATGTGGAGATGGCAAATGTCAATATTTTATTCGTAATATAACATAGATGACAGCTCAAAAGTTTAATCTGAGTAAATGTAACATTTTTTTTTTTTTTGCCAAAATATCTTTATTGAATTTTATCAGGTTTAACAAACACAACTCTAACATTCTACAAAAATAATACAGCAATGTATTCAAACCAAAATACTAAAAGCCAAAACAAAACAAACAAAAAACAAAGTGCCCCTCACAAGATTCTGATCATATTGCAACCTATTTCAAACTCCAACATTTTAAAGGAAAAATATGTTGATTCCAAATTTCAGTGTCAACAAATCCCCAAAATGTTAGGACAAGTAGCAATAAGTGGCTGGAAAAAGGAAATTGAGCATATAACGAACAGCTGGAAGACCAATTAACACTAATTAGGTCAATTGACAACATGATTGGGTATAAAAAGAGCTTCTCAGAGTGTCAGTGTCTCTCAGAAGCCAAGATGGTAAGAGGATCACCAATTCCACCATTGTTGCGCAGAAAGATAGTACAGCAATACTAGAATGGTGTTACCCAGCGTAAAATAGCAAAGACTTTTAAGTTATCATCATCAACCGTGCATAACCTTATCAAAAGATTCAGAGAATCTGGAACAATCGCGGTGCATAAGGGTCAAGGCCATAAAACTCTACTGGATGCTCGTGATCTCCGGGCCCTTAAACGTCACTGCACCTCAAACAGGAATGCCACTGTCAAGGAAATAAGAGAATTGGCTCAGGAATACTTCCAGAAACCATTGTCAGTGAACACAATCCACCGTGCCATCCGCCGTTGCCATCTGAAACTCTACAGTGCAAAGAGGAAGCCATTTTTAAGCAAGCTCCACAAGCTCAGATGTTTGCACTGGGCCAGGGGTCATTTAAAATGGAGTGTGGCAAAATGGAAGACTGTTCTGTGGTCAAATGGGTCACGATTTGAAGTTCTTTATGGAACACTGGGACCCCATGTCATCTGGACCAGAGAGGACAAGGATAGCCCAAGTTGTTATCAACGTTCCGTTCAGAAGCCTGCATCACTGATGGTATGGGGTTGCATGAGCGCTTGTGGCATGGGCAGCTTGCATGTCTGGAAAGGCACCATTAATGCAGAGAACAATGTTCAGGTTCTAGAACAACATATGCTCCCATCTAGACGTCATCTCTTTCAGGGAAGACCCTGCATTTTTCAACACGATAATGCCAGACCACATTCTGCAGCAATCACAACATCATGGCTACGTAGGAGAAGGATCCGGGTACTGAAATGGCCAGCCTGCAGTCCAGATCTTTCACCTATAGAGAACATTTGGCGCATCATAAAGAGGAAGGTGCGACAAAGAAGGCCCAAGACCATTGAACAGTTAGAGGCCTGTATTAGACATGAATGAGAGAGCTTTCCTATTTCTAAACTTGAGAAACTGGTCTCCTCTGTCCCCAGACGTCTGTTGAGTGTTGTAAGAAGAAGGGGGGATGTCACACAGTGGTAAAAATGGACTTGTCCCAACTTTTTTGGGATTTGTTGACGCCATGAAATTTGGAAACAACAGATTTTTCCCTTAAAATGATACATTCTCTCAGTTTAAACTTTTGATCTGTGATTTGTGTTCTATTCTGAATAAAATGTTAGATGTTGGCACCTCCACATCATTGCATTCAGTTTTTATTCACAATTTGTTTAGTGTCCCAACTTTTTTGGAATCCGGTTTGTATAATAAAACATTTTTTAATGCTGACAAAATTTACCCCCAAAATTTATAAATTGTCCCTATAGAATGTCCTCAAGTTCAAGTCATTTTCATCGTCATTCTCATTACACGTGATACATGAGGTGGAAAGAAATGACGTGCACAGTGTCCCAGTTACGCCCAACAATAGCCTAAATATAAAGTACAATAGAAATGAATGTATCATTGTATCAAGTATCAATGGGATTTGACGAATCCCATGTGAAAACCCAGCCCTCTTCAGAACTCTTGAGCTCAGACTTCACATCAGAAACATCATTCAAAGTTTAAACTGGTCACAGGAAGTTGAACTTTATATGTCTGCACTGACATTTTGATTTTTATAATATTTTTTGGAAAAAAAAATCTAAAGCCCTATTTGCACGGGATTATTATTATTTTTTTTTTTCATTTAGCCTTTATTTATCCAGGTTAGTCTCATTGAGCCACGAGAACTCATTTTCAAGAGAGACCTGTTTAGGGAGCACATGGTGGGGGTTAAGGGCCTTGCTCATGGGCCCAGAGTGGGGCGAATGAGGGTGGGGGGGCAAGTGTGGGTGTTTCACCCACCCCACCCACAATTTTGTGAACCGCCGATCTTCGGATCAAAGGCCCACCTCTCTAACCTCTGCGCCACCACTCCCCCCATTAGTTTTACCTATGGACCACATGCTAGTTGTAGTAATTACGGAGATTGTCTGTGTTGTTAATCCCGTGCGAATTGACCATGTCAGTAATTTGTAAAGTAAAAGTTCCCCCACAAATTACCTACTATATTTTGCTGTGATAATACTAATCCAATGCGTATAGGCATCTCTGTGATTTGGACAGAAATGTGCGGGATCCGAGATGTGATTAGGCGGTTTTTGTTTTTGTTTTCTGAGCAAAATCATTTGGAAAAATAATGAACAAGGCTATTTTAAACGAACGCGCTGCTCACTTTGGCTTTTATGCTGCTACTTCCTTCACCGCAAATGACAGCAGGTGCGGAGACGCGCACGTGATCAGCTGACCCATCCATCCATCCATCCATTATATTTACCCGCTTCTTCCTTTTTGAGACACGCGTGGCCATGACAGGTTGTCATCTGAGCTTAACATTGTGCTTTTTTTTTTTTTTTTTTTTTTCCACCTCTTAAACCAGCCGGTCGAACCTGCCTCCTCCTCATCAATTGGATTAACACAATTTCATATTGTGCATTCTTTACTTTTCTTTGTGCTGATTCGTATAACCGCATAAAAGCCTGAGACCAGCCTTGCCCGCACATTAAGTACATTATTATGGACAGGCCCGGTCGTGACAATGCAGCGCGTTAACATCATATCTGGAAGATGTCCATAAATTTCAGCTAAATCTCAGGCTTTGGTTATCCCGTGTGAATGCGTTGCATAAAAAGCAGACGTTGGGGAGTAATTTATTTATTACATGACGTGGTCCCTAGGTAAAACTAATCCTGTACAAATAAGGCTTAAGTTTAAGTTTGAGTTTTGGAGATTTTATCACACTGTGTTCAATTTAGAGTGATGTCACACACTAACTTTGAGTTGTTTAAACATTTTTGTAAACTCCTTTTACTCCTACATGTCACACTTTTTTACAGTTTACAAATCAGAACTTAGGCATTTTTTGTATATTTTCCATCAGTGTGTCTCTCATTGCCAATGAAGTTGTCTTCTCTCCAATCCCCCCAAGTTCAGTGCACACCCAAACTCTTAATTTCCAATGTACGTATATGAGCTCAGAATTATCTCTTCAAAAGTAGAAGCGAAGTTCGTTTGTGTTCATAGAATGTACAAATAATGAGCATCGTTTTTTATTGAAGGAAACTTGAGCCCTCGGATTAAGATCATAAACTTATTACGTTTTCCTTTTTTCAGCAGTGTTGTTCTCTGTTTTTAACAGTGTTTTTATAGTATTTTGAACGCTGAAAATAATAAGACTGACTAAAATAAAAAGAACCATTTCAATGGTAAAGTGAGTAAACATACAAAGACATTAAAAAATGGCCAAACTGAACTAGACAATCAGAAATTTTGAGTCTGAAAAAGTATGGACTTTTAAAATGGGAAAACTTTAGGAATCATGTTAAATGATTTGATAAAATTGTTTTGTTTGTTTTGAACAGTCTCGTAGATATTTTTAATAAAGATGCTGTCCGATGCTATGTGATCTTCACATACCGTGTTGTTGTGTTCAGGTACCGTGAGGAGGCGGTGGCGTACAAAGAGGAGCACCTGAGAGACCGACAGCTGCCTCAGTGTTATGTTCAGTATATGATAGCTATTATCAACAACTGCCAGACATTCAAGTAAGGCTGAAGTGTATTCATCATGTAGTTTTTACAATTTCACCAAGTATTATCTTTTGTCGCACGATTAAGTTTTTATGTCTGAGATCATAAATGAGATGTGCATTGTTTTTTTTAGGTGAAACTAATGTTTGAAATTTTGATTATTGTGGCTAAAATGAACTACTTCAGTGATTCCGCTGACTAACAACATATCAGGTCTCTCTTTAAAACGAGTTCTCATGTCTGTATATCCATCCATCCAATATCTTTACATGCTTTTTTCTTTTCGGATCCCTGATGCCCATATCCAGCTATCACTGTGCAAGAGGCAGGGACACCCTGGACAGGTCTCCAGTCCATCACAGGGACACAGAGAGACAAACAAGACAAATAACCATTCACTCTCTCACTCACATCTAGGGACAATTTAGAGTTACCAATCAGCCTAACATGCATGTTTTTGGTCTGTGGGAGGAAACCAGAGTACCCGGAAAAAACCCACACATGCACGGAGAGAACATGCAAACTCCACCCAGGAAGGCCCCTGGCTGGGATTTGAAATGATGACCTTCTTGCTGAGAGGCAGCAGCTCTACAAACTGCGCCATCGTGCCGTTTATAAACAAAGGGTAAATAAATAAATATACAGTAGTCCCTTGTTTATCACGGGGGATTCATACCCTGAAGCCCTGCAATTAGTGAAAAACTGTGAAGTAGGACTAGTAGTACAAGCAGTAAGGGTGTATTTTTTTGTCCTATAAGTCGCGTTTTTTACACAATATGCCCTGCAACTCATAGGCCGAAGTGACATATTTATGGATTTTTTTCCATCCATCCATCCATTATTTTCCGCTTATTCCGAAGTCGGGTCGTGGGGGCAGCAGCTTGAGCAGGGAGGCCCAGACATCTCTTTCCACAGCCATTTCTTCCATCTCTTCTGGGAGGATTTCAAAGCGTTCCCAGGACAACCGAGAGACATAGTCTCTCCAGCGTGTCCTGGGTCTTCCTCGGGGTCTCCTCCCAGTTGGGCATGCCCGAAGCACCTCCCTAGGGAGGCGCCCAGGGGGCGTCCTTACCAGATGCCCGAACCACCTCAACTGCCTCCTCTCGACGTGAAGGAGTAACGATTCTACTCCCGAGTCTCTCCCGGATAACTGAACTTCTCACCCTATCTCTAAGGTAGAGTCCAGCTACCCTGCAGAGAAAACTCATTTCAACCGCCTGTATCCATGATCTCATTCTTTCGGTCACTACCCAGAGCTCATGACCATAGGTGAGGGTAGGAATGTAGATCGACCAGTAAACAGAGAGCTTTGCCTTACAGCTCAGCTCTCTCTTCACCACAACGGACCGGTAGAGTCCGCAATACTGCAGATGCTGCACCAATCCGTCTGTCAATCTCACGCTCCATTCTTCCCTCACTCGTGAACAAAATCCCGAGATACTTGAACTTCTCCGTTTGAGGCAGAACCTCAATCTCGACCTGAAGAGAGCAATCCACCCTTTTCCGGTTGAGGACCATGGCCTCAGATTTAAAGGTGCTGATTCTCATCCCAGCCGCTTCACACTGGGCTGCGAACTGCTCCAATGAGAGCTGAAGATCATGGCACGATGACGCCAACAGAACCACATCATCTGCAAAGAGCAGAGATGGAATCCTGAGGCCACCGAACTGGAAACCCTCCACCAGATGGCCACACCGGGAGATTCTGTCCATAAAAGTTATGAACAGAATCGGTGACAACGGACAGTCCTGGCAGAGTCCAACTCCTACCCTGAAGGGGTTTGACTTACTGCTGGCAATGCAAACCAAACTCGCACCACTTGTATAGGGACTGAACAGCCCGTAACAACGGGTCTCCAATCCCATACTCACGGAGCACCCCCCACAGTGTACCCCGAGGAGCACGGTCGAATGCCTTCTCCAAGTCCACAAAACACATGTAGACTGGATGTGCAAACTTCCATGACCCCTCAAGGACCCTAGTGAGAGTAAAGAGCTGATCCAATGTTCCACGGCCGGGACGGAACCCACATTGTTCCTCCTGGATCTGAGGTTTGACCAACGATCAGACTTGCTTCTCCAGTACCCCTGAATAGACCTTACCAGGGAGGCTGAGAGTGATGCCCCTATAATTGGAGCACTCCCTCTGGTCCCACTTTTTGAAGAGGGGAACCACCACTCCAGTCTGCCAATCCAGTGGCACTGCCCCCGATGTCCACGCAACATTGCAAAGGCGTGTCAGCCAAGACAGCCCCACTACATCCAGATCCTTAAGGAAAACAGGGTGAATCTCATCCACTCCCAGAGCCCTGCCGCCTCTGAGCTTTGAAAACTACCTCGGTGACCTCAGCCACGGTTATGGACGGATCAACGCTAAAGTCCCCCGACTCAGCTTCCTCCATGGACGACGTGCTGGTGGGATTGAGAAGGTCCGAGAAGTATTCCTTCCACCTCCCGACGACATCACTGGTTGTGGTCAACAGCACCCCACCTTCACTGAACACACTGTTAGTAAAGTGCTGCTTTCCCCTTCTCAACCGCCTTATGGTTTGCCAGAATCTCCTCGGAGCCGACCGAGAGTCTCTATCCAAGGTCTCACCGAACTCCTCCCACATCTGAGCTTTTGCCTCAGCAACAGCCAAGCCTGCAGACCACTTGGCCCTCTGGTACTCCTCAACTGTCTCCAGAGTCCCACTGGCCAACAAGGCCTGATAAGACTCCTTCTTCAGCTTTACAGCCTCCCTAACCTGGGGTGTCCACCACCAAGTTTGTGGATGGCCACCGCGAGAAGGATCAACAAACTTGTGGCCACAGCTCAAGGCAGCTACCTCAACAAGCGAGGCGCGGAACATGGCCCACTTGGACTCAATGTCCCCCATCTCAGCTGGGATGCGGTTAACGCTCTCCCAGAGGTGTGAGTTGAAGATCTCTCTGACGGGTTCTTCTGCCAGGCGTTCCCAGCAAACCCTCACTACACGTCTGGGTCTACCGGATCTGTCCGGTATCTTCTCCCGCCATATGATCCAACTCACTACCAGGTGGTTATCAGTTGACAGCTCAGCTCCTCTCTTCACCCAAGTGTCCAAAACAAATGGCTGCAAATCAGATGACACGACTATCATCGATCTACGACCTAAGGTGTCCTGGTGCCAAGTGCACTTATGGACACCCTTATGTTCGAACATGGTGTTCGTGATGGACAAACTATGACTAGCACAGAAGTCCAACAACAGAACACCGCTCGGGTTCAGATAAGAGAGGTTCCTCCCAGTCACACCCCTCCAGGTCACAATGTCATTACCCACGTGGGCATTCAAGTCCCCCAGCAGAATAAAGGAGTCCCTAGCTGGCACACCTTCCAGCACCCCTGCCAAGGACTCCAAGAAGGCCGGATACTCTGAACTGCAGTTTGGCGCATAGGCACAAACAACAGTCGGAGCCCGTCCCCCCACCCGAAGGCGAAGGGAAGCCACCCTCTCATCTACCGGGGAAAACTCCAACACACAGGCACCAAATCGGGGGGCTACAAGTAGACCCACACCAGCTCGACACCTCTCACCATGGGCAACTCCAGAGTGGAATAAGGTCCAGCCCCTCTCAAGGAGATCGGTTCCGGAGCTCATGCTGTGCGTCGAGGTGAGCCCAACTATATCTAGTCGGTACCTTTCAACCTCGTGCACAAGCTCAGGCTGCTTCCCTGCTAGAGAGGTTTCATTCCATGTCCCAAGAGCCAGCTTTGGTAAGCCAGGGTCAGAGCGCCAAGGTCCCCGCCTTCGGCCACTGCCCATAGAATCATGCACCCGACTTTTATGGCCCTTCCTGCAGGTGCTGGGTCCACAGGAAGGATTTTTTTTTCATATTGTATTTTTTCACATATTTATACACCAATTTTTGGCTGAGATATGACCGTTCTATTTCGTATAGGCTTCGTCCTTTAAGAGCTGTCGCTGATGGGTTTTAATCCCGTTATGCGAAGCATCACACTGAAAAGTTTAGTCCACGCCCACCTGCTGTGTGGGCCCCACCCGGTCCGTATAAATTACATTAAGAGCAGGTAATCGGCTCCCAATTTTCTTCAGCAAGCTAATAACACTGACCTTCTACAAGATGTCCAGTTCCAACATCATCTGCTTGTGTTCATCTTGCAAGACCAGTTACTTGCTCAGCTTTGACTGGCACGACACCTGCGAGGGATGCATGGGTCCCCGCCACGTCGCCCGCGCTTCGTCCTGCCGCCTCTGTGACGATCTTCCACTGGAGGAAAGGCAGAGGAGAGCAGCCTTGTTTAAGGCTAACATCGAGGACTGCCTGTTCGTGGTGGGAGACTGTTCGCTGGACGACGCGTTTGACTTCTTCGACGCCGGCTCTCGGAGCGAATCGGATGGTTCCTCTGGGACTGGCAACGTCAGCAGCAGCCCCGATGCTCACTCCCTCCCAGAGAGTGCATTGGTGGAACGAGGGGGTCCGAGCGGATGCTCGACCCCTCTGGGCTTTCCCGCCTCAACGGCTGCATCGCTCCCTGCCGTCAGCGCACTCCTATCGGAGTTGCCTGACATTATCCGGGAAGCTGCTGACATGAAGGGACTTTCCGTTCCCTTACCCCCCCCCGCCCAGATCGGATGATCTTGCAGGAAGATTTGGCTCCACGCCGGCTCGCCATCCTGATCCCATCTGGCCTCAGTTTCCTGCGGTGACGTCGTATTGGAACGAGGCCGCAGCCGGTCCTGGTAAGCTGAGAGCGCCCTTCGCCACCTTTGCTCCCATCACCAGAGTGGAGGGGTTCACTGAGCGGAGCTTTCCCTCGGTACCCCCCCTTGAGCCAAGCCTTACAAAAGCTTTCAGAGCGAAGCTGTCCAGGTTGGAGTAGTGGCCCGACCCTCCTGGGAAAAATGACCAGACGGTGACCACGCTCTCCAATCGAGCTCATCAATGTGCGTTTCAGGCAGCCGCAGCTAACAACAACAACGTGGCGCTGTTAGCATACAGCGTGTCCAAGAGGCTGGAGGCCGCAGATC